AACTTTCTAATTTTTTCGATTCCTTTAATTAACTTCTTAATTCTTTAAGTTAATAAGTTAATCTTAATTCTTCTAAATTCTTAACTCTCTATTAACTGCTGAGGATGAGAACCAAACACTCAAAAAAGAAGTGTTTAATTTTAAGATATTAAAATGTTTTATTCTCGTCTCCATTTTTTAAACACTTAAAGATGTTTTAGTTTTAAACCTTTTCTCTCAATATAGACAAAATACTATGTGTTTGGATTTGAAACACTATGCGTTTTAAATCCAAACACCCAGTATTTTGTTTATTGAAAAAGTATAAAACTAAAACATCTTTAAGTGTTTAAAAAATGCAGACAAGAATAAAACATTTTAATATCTTAAAATTATTCTTTTTTACAGTGGATCCGCCTATAATCGAGTCAATCACTCCTGTATGAGAATACAAGTATCCGCAACAATTTTTTAAAATGATGAAAAAGAATTGTTATTTCGTAAGGTTATTTCGCGATTGCACCGTTGCGATTTTCGTTGCGAGCAGAGAAAGCGGACTTAGATAAAATTCCTGGAAACTGATGCAAGGCTCCACTCGTATTGTCCATTTTTCTCCGCGCTAATTGCGCGCGTTTCACTCGCGCGTACATAAACGCACGTACATACATGGATGGAATACGACAAGATAAAAACAATCATTGGAATCCTCTTATCGGTCGCACCACAAATCTTGATTCACTCTGTATATATATACACACACCAGATACATTCAAAAAGATCACATGTACGATCTGATAACGATAGCGAGCTTACAAAATAATAAAAATGTTAAGTCATTGTCTTGCGCTCATATCATTCACGGAAATAATCAAATCGAAGAAATAATCAAGTCCTCTCTATAAGGCGTAATCTTTCGATATATTCTTCCGAGTAATCGTTTCAAAAGTCAATTATCTTCGCACGTGCTCAACGCAGTACGGTCGACAGAATTAAATAGCCTGATGCGTCATATAAACTCATCCGTTAACCCGACACTTTCTAGACTGGTATACATAGTCCATTCTTATTTCATAATCGTCTTAAGTAATGTCTTAAAGTGCTAATACCTAATACGATTCTCTGATTATAATACGTCGATATATATGCGTCGTATACAATACACGGAGTAAGAAGAGTAAAAAATTGACCTATTAAGACCCGTCTACAATACAATAGTAAGCTTGGTTTAAAAAGTAAGATTAAGAAATAAAATTAATTTATTTCGCTTACGCCTACATCTACACCGACTCTAAACTCTTACACCTACTCTTACTTCTTAAACCAAGCTTACTACTGTATTGTAAACAGACCTTTACAATCGAATACCAAAAGAATAATTGACTGTGATTGTGTGTGTCAATTTCTTTCCTTACTTCTTATTCCGTGTATTGTAGACGTTGCATTGTATTTAAGACGGTCTTGATAAGAAATGACTGCATCAGGCTTATACTTGTTTCTATCAACATAGATAAACTTTAAATTTGCATGTTCTTCATCTTTTTCAAATTCTTGGAATTAAAAAAAAGTAAAGAGCTGTTAAACCAAGACTAAATTACATTGATAAGAAAGGGCATTAGATCCAATATAAGATTATAACTTTAATCTCAGTTTGACTTACTGTAATTTATAATTTTCGGCTTTATAATTTTCTAATTCTAATTAGAAAAAAAAATATAAAAATTCTAATTCTTAGACGTATGAAATCGCTAGTACTAAGTGCTCGTGCAAAGCAATGTATTAAATCATTTATTAAATAAATTATCCTAACATAAAGACCTTAATTCTTACAATTATTATGTTTGACTATTTTCTAATTCTTAGAAGATAAACATAATAATTCTAAGAATATAGGAAAAAAGTATAAAAATTCTAATTATGTTGATTCTACAATGAGTCGGTAGTCGGTAGTTCTAAGTCTTAAGCCTGTTCTACAATATGGTTGCAAGCCATAAAAAATTAACAAATCGTAGTTGATTATTTTTGTCATATTCAACTGTGATTGGCCAATTTCTTATGGTTTACGATTTGCGATCCTATTGTAGAACGCATTATCGATGAAGTTGACTAATAGCCAACTTGTATGACCACAACTTCACCGATTAAGACTTAGGGGAGTATCAAACTATGGGTTGACGATTACGATTGACGGAAGCCCGGTTCTATTTCAGCCAATTAGGATGGACTCGCTACATCGTGACTGGTTGAAGTAGTGGGCAACCGTTAATCGTAATCGTCAATCCAGTCTGATACAGGTATTATAGCGAATTCGATTGGATGCACTCAGTGCGCATTGGTGCACATTATTAAAGCCGTCGTACACAAAATAACATAAAGATATGTTTATAAATAAACATAGAAATCGAAAATCATGAAATAATCAATACATTTTATGGTACCCCAGACAGCACAAAATATTTATGATAAATATTCATAAATCTTTATTATTTATTTTTTGAAATATTATATAAAGATTTTATATATATCTTATGTAAGCTTTATTTGAAAATATTATTAAAATATAGACTAAATGTTTTATATAATATCTATGATAAATATAAATAAATATTTCTAGTTAATATTTTTTACTTGGATTATAATGTCTTATTTAGTATATTTATAGTATTTACTACAATATGTACGATAAATATTTCGTAATATTGATAATAAATATTTATGATCTGTACAATCTAAGAGAGAGAGAGAGACCACACAAATATTTATAAAATATTAAATATAAATATTACAAATATTTTGTAAATATTTTATAAATATTGTGTGTTGTCTGGAACTATTAGGTAAAATATGTAATTCGAAATATTTGCATTTCATTTTTATCCTCAAATTAAATCAGTGTACAACGGCTTTAATATGCACCAGTGCTTCTAATCGAATTCGCCATAAGACTTCCGACTACAGACTGATTATAGAATCAGCATTAGAATTATTACGTTCACCTTTTTCTAATTCTTAGAATTAGAAAAAATAAACAGAAGTTAAATCGAGATCAAAATTAATCATATTTTCAGACCTTGTCTTGAACATGACACGTTTTAACCACACGATCAATTATACAAACGAAAAAGATACTGCTTATGGCTGCGTTTCGTTATTCACTGTCAGTATTGACAGTATGACGTTATAAAGTAGTACTGCAGAAGCGTTTTGAAATTACTAATAGTACTTTTATGACGTTACAACGTTACATAACGAAACGGATTTAGTAGTACTTGGTAGGACTGTAGAAATAAATAATTTTTTAAATTTTGATAAAATTTGGAATTATTAATTATATTCATATCTTTGCGTGTTTTTTTCTGCATCTACTTTATTCATTAATATGTCATAACTTTTTGACATTATTCGTTTCGACATCTAAAAAACAAATTTTTTCCTGATTTCCCATTTTCTTGAATTTCGCCATCTTTTTACTGCGATTACCTGACCTTGCCAGTAATAGAAATAGGAAGTGACGCAAAAATTTATGACGCCATATAAACGCAAAAGTATATTGGAAGTTTACTGCGATATATTTTGGAATGGCATGTGCAATGCTGCCAGTACTGACAGTGAATAATGAAACGCAGCCTATGTGTCACAGGAAGATCTGACCGTTCAATGTAAGTGGAATGTGTAGCATTTGACTTTACTGATAAAACAGCGATAACATAAAATATGTAATACTTATTCTATCAGACATTGGTAAATCTATTGATAAGCTAATTTCTATGGAATTATCAAATCTTGGAATCAAAGCAAATGGACATAATTACATTTTAATTAAATTTAAAATACACCAAGCGCGCGTACTATATTAAAAAAAATTATCCGCGTTTTTTTGCGGAGATCGCAAAATTCGTATAATCGTCGCGTGATCATGAACTTCTTAAATGATCATGTAATTCATAGCCTCTCCCCATCGAATCCTTAAACTCCTTCGACGGGTCGTCATCCCCACCACTTTATCACCTGTCGGAATGTGGTTCAAAATTTACCTTCGAATGGCCGATCAAATTAGTTGAGGTAAACGAAAGCTTACTCCTGTCACTAATAGCGACAACCACGTGACAGAAGCTGCGTCGTTTTCACCGAATATGCACTAATTCGAGGATCCAACTTTCACAATTTAGGACGACGACGCTGAACGACGCGTACAAACGTCGCGTAAGCAATCCGGCGTGTTCCGATGCGATCGACCACGATCGACGAAGGTCGGCAGTATCACCATTGTCCTTTTTTCGCTATCATTCTTCCGAGCGAAAAACTGCAGAATGGTTGATAAAAATGAGCGCGCATTAGCCGACAACGACGCTGCGAGCGGCGACGCTCGGAAGCGCACGGTCGACGCGCGAAATTCAAGCGATTTCTTTTCGGCTGCAAAAAGCAAAAGAATTAAAACCCACATCTAGTGTCCATTAATTTTTATTAATTAATTGCAAGCGTATGTTAGTTATTTAAATGACCGTTTTTATTTACCTTATTTCTTATCTTATCGTATTTTGTTTACGGTACGTTTGGGAAGCACAGTGTCAATGCTGTTGTCGTTCTGTCTTAATTGTTCACTAGACGTAAAACAAGATGTTATTTATTTTAATATTAGCTTTTTGTTCAGTTGTTCCACGTCTAATAAATGATAAAGATAAAGTGACATAATAGCGTTGACGGTATGCTTCCTAAACAAAATGACAAATAATAAATCTGTTTTCTATACCTGAACTAGTATACACTTTTGAAATATTTTTTTAAATACTTAAAAAATAAAATAGATATGTATTTAATATCTGAACAAAAGAAACAGAGTTTTAGTGCAGGAATAAAAAACAAACTTAAACCAGTATTTATAGTCCATTCTTATTTCAAGATCGTATTAAATGTCCTATTCGCGATTGGCTTATAACATCTTAAAACTGTATTTAAGACAATCTTAAATATAAGAACACTATGAATCGACTGGTCCTTAATTAGTATCAGCTTGTTTGCTGGGGAGTATAGAATGAGGCGCGATAGCATTCTCCCTGAATTTAACCATTTATCAAATTTCACCGTCACGTCGGGCATTTGGAGCACTTTGGCATTCTCTGTCGCTTTGTCTCGGTCTTCGAGTGTCTTTTCAAAGCTGGAGAAAAAGTGCAATGAATAATTTGTCGTTACTTTACGCTTATCAAACTACATCTATTTTACCGTGTCGGCGTGATAGATTCGAGATTTCTACTCACTTATCGTCGCCGAACCGATGTTGATCGGCTCGAGCTTCAAGCTCTGTATCTCCCGCAGGACCATTGCGTGAAAGGAGAGCGCGGCGACCCTCGTAAACAATTCGGACACCCCATTACCAGTTCTCGACGAGACCGCCCAATATTCCGCTCGCATTCTTTTCGCCGCTTCAACTGCCCGTTTTTCGATTATTTCGTATACTGGATGAGACTACCGTTTCCCAAAAGAAAAAGCGATTAATAAAAGACAGTATATTCATAGTCAATTTTTATATTTATAGATCTTTTAAGATTGTCATAAAGTTACAACAGTCTTTTAAGATCAATAAGTTATTCTGTCTTAAGTTATAATATATCTTAAGACCAATTTATATAAACCAATCACAACATAAGCATCTTAAAACATTACTTAATACGGTCTTACATATATAAGAATACCAGCCTATGATATTATCAATACTTACTAACAAATCTTTTTTAGTGCCGACTAGAAAAATATGATGAAGACCAACATTGCTGCAACTTGCCTCATTTAACCATTGCTGGCAATGCATCAGCGACATCAGGTTTCCCAAGTCGAAAACGACCATGATTACTAAAATGAAATAACATGCGTAAGAATTACAAGACAGCTAGATGAAATTATGCAGAGAATTAAGAAGGAATTTACCATTAGCACTGCGATAATAAGACGCCGCTATGCACTTGAATCTTTCCTGACCCGCGGTATCCCATCTGCAAGTGGCATCTCAAATTACTTATATATTACATACAATTCACGCTTGCGCGGAAAGAATAATTTTGCTAAAATATCTTAAAATTTAGCTAAGATATCTAAAAATTTATCTAGGTACTAATCTGAAAATAAGTTTGTTAAATTATCAAAATAATTGCGGAGGATGCTCAAGCTGATTGCTTGAATGTCAAAATTTGTTGCAGCATTACATGAGTTTTCAACATAATTATTTTGAAGGTCCGATAAAATTATTTTTAGATCTGTATCTAGATAATTTTTTTAATATTTCATAAAAATCATTCTGTCAGTGTAAATATTTCTAAACACGCTTGTCAATTTAAATTTATTACATTTGCAAATGGAAAGGCACGCCAAGGACGTCGAATCTCTCCACCTCGAAATCCACGCCAATAGTGGCCTTGTAATTGTTGTCGAAGAGCCTGTGGCAGAAGCTGCGCAAAGTGATCATTCGTCTTATTGTTCAAGTTTTCAGGTCGCGGAAAAGCCATCAAATTGACTCCGTAAAGAATAATCAATTTTTACAAAGTTGTACTAAACGATAGAGGTTTACCGATCAATTATTACCGATTCACTAATGATGTTTTGCCGACGGCGACGTCGCCTATGACGATCACCTTGGAGATTCGGAGAGTCAAATTCTTGTTCTCGCAGGTCCGTCTGATCAAAGTGCCGAAATCATTCTCGTTGTATGGTGTGATTTCAGATGAGAATGGTGGTGGCCAATCGTTTATCTGTCAGCAAAGATCACAGTCTATTTTTACTTATAAAAATTGAATTTAATTCCGATTTAATTTAACTGTTATTTTCTCCTAAGGATTAGAAAAAGATAAAGAATAAATTAATAATCAAGATTAAAATTAATCTACAATTATGAGCCATTTCTACTCACTAAATTTTTTAAAGAATTTTACTCTAGTAAAAATTGAATCAGTCTTGAAAAAGAATGGTTCAATTTTCAATCTTTTAAAGTGAGATTTCACTCTTCAGAGTAAGTCACTCTAAAAATTTTAGAAAGTATCAATATAGATAAATTTCAATCTCGATTTAATTTACTTTTTAGTCTTTTTTAGTTCTTAGAATTAGAAGAAAGTAAAATCAAGATTAAAGTTAATTTACAGTGATAGAAAAAGTAGATTACTACAATATAGATTAACTTCAACCTTGGTTTAACTTCCCTCCTTTATTTTAGGAAAAAATATTATATAAATGGACATATTTCATATATAATTATATATAATTGTATATATAAAATATATTAATTTTTTATATAATTATATAAGAAACATTTTTTATCAGATTACTTTTTGCCTTCTTCTAGTTACAAGTATTAGAAAAATGAAAAGTAAAAATCGCGAGATTGAATTTAATTTACATTAGTAAAAATGGGCCAAAGAAAGGCATATTCGATTACTCAAGCGTCAAAAATTAATTCGAACGATAATTCCTACCTGCCGTTCATCATGGGCTTCTTCTTTCATCATTTTGTAAGTCGCGGAGCGCGTTTCCAACATCGTTCTTTTTTTAATTGGAGCGTTTAATGAAACAATAAGAACAGGCTCTCTTTCTCCATACATGTGTCAATGTAATTTTTGCAATTGCATGTTGCTGATTGCGTTTTGTATACTTGTTGTTTGAGACTGACTATATGATCAGACTGACGTTCACTGGTTTGGAGCAAAACGCAATTGATTCCGCACAACTAAACGGGAAACATTGGTTGCTGTGGCAGGTGTTTCATTGTGACATATGGGGGAGGCTCATACGGGCGTAATAGTGAAAACTAATGCATCTGGAATAAATTATTATGTCAGATATATATAATAATAAATTTATCTCTTATTCAGTAAAAATATCGCAAAAATTTATTTTAATTAAGAATATATGAGTCACTATAAAGACAACCCAATAAACGAGAATGGATTGAAGTGGACTGAAATGGATTCAGATTTTCAGAAATATAGATTCACTAATGTTAAAATAAATGCTTTTCAATCCTGAATGCATTTTTATTCATTTATAGGAATTGCATGGAGCATATCTCTATTTCTTTCAATCTAAAAATAATATCAGCTTTTTCTATGCATTGTGAATACTGTTCAATTCAAAATTTTGAATAGGAAATGCAATTTTTCAATCTAATTGCATCCAATTGAATCTAATTGAATCCAATTGAATCCAATTAAATCCAAAAAAAAAGTATTCGCTATTTAAAATACGCATTCGAATAGAAAAAAAATTTTAATTCATTTTAATCCATTCTCGTTTACTGGGAATACAAAAAAATATATAAAAATTTCATAAATTATTCTATTGGTATATATGTGTAAAATTTGAGCACAATTCTCTTATTAATTTAAAAGTTATTTAATTTTTTTGTTTGTCTCAATTCTGATAAAATCGCGTTCCAATCGTGTGCGAAGTAACGATAAAAGTAAAATTCGTTACGTTATAAAAAAAAATGTAACTTCCTTACCATTACAGTTACCAAAGAAAAAAAGGAACAGTTACCCTTAAAATTACCAAAAAGTAACTTGTAACTGTAACTTACAAGTAACAAGTTATCCCTGATGAAAATGATAGATCTTGCTTGGTTTCTGCTGCCAATCTGCCATCAGATTACGATTGTGTTCCGTTTCAAGCATGATGCACATGATGGATCTTTTATCCTTGTTATTCACCAAATGTTAAACAAGCAGGGTTGCGTTCAGGAATTACGCCCAGATAACTCTAAGCTACAGACTATTACATTACGTATATTGGGTGCTTTCCATTTGATAACACAAGTCGACACAAATTGACATAAGCGTCATTTTGTCCTTCTTGACATTCAGAGAGTGACAAAGAATGACACTTGTGTTGACTTGTTTCGACTTGTGTTATCAAATGGAAAGCATCCATTATGGCAAAAATACACCCTGGAGTTATCTAGGTATAATTCCTGAACGCAGCCCAGGATAAATGATGCATTACGCACATCATGCGTATAACGGAACGCAGCCTTTTTTTTAGCAGGCTCTGCTCGTAAGGTTTGTTGCGTCGCAAGCTCCAACATGCTCCAACATGCTCCTACCACAGCTCCTACTCACTTTATCAAGCGCGTTGGAGTGAATAAGAACTATGGTAGGAGCATATTGGAACATGTTGGAGCATGCGATGCAAACAAACTCGCTGTCAGGTTATGCAACGAACTCTGTTCGGTTTCTGTCATCAATTTGCTGCCATCGCATGTCAGCAGGCTTTGTCATATTTTTGACAGCAATTTACTGACATTGTCTGATAGTACAAACTTTGTTCCCTTCCTGCAATTAAAAATTAGTAGCAGGCTCTGCTCAAAATCTGTCTTCGATGATTTCCGCAGAATATCAGGATATATATAATTTTATATATATATATATATGAAACTTTTTCCTGGGTTAATATTTGAAAATTTGATGAGGAAGTAATATTATATCAAGTATTGAAATATAAAACAATAATAAATATTCATGCAAAAGTTTGTTTGAATCCACTTACTCGTTTAAAAGTCACTGACCTGCAGTAAAATAACATAGCCATTATAAGCCAAATTATGGATCATTTTGTTTTTTGCAATTGATTTAGGATATATTCACAAGCTATTATCATAGTTTGTATATAATATTAGCTAATATTACCTAGTTTCTTAATATTTTTAGCTGATATTGCGTAGCCAAAACGATTCGTTTAATCAAAAAAATCACTGATCCGGAGACCGGAATTTGGACGGAGTCGCCCTCTTCCTTTTCGTCGATCAACGACTAGCGTAGTCGGAACTTGCATTTCCGTCACGGACACGAATTGAAGTTCCTTTCTAGCAAAATGGCTCCGAAACCGAAGCCCACGGAAAAGGCAGGTAGGTTTGAAACTAATTCGTGACGTTTGTCTTTCCTTCAGAGTGCACGTTTTTAGGCTGAAAAAACGTTTTTCGAAATCATCGATTAATACAAACGTAACGTATCAACGTCGCGTAGTTTGGGATCGAGGAACGCGATCCAGGACCATGTGGTCGAACGTACGCACGTTTTTTAACATCTTGTTTACGATAACTCTCTAATTCTCTGAAGAATGTTTCATGTGGTTTTATCTACCGGTTTTTTATCCACTGTGTCTGCGAGTCTCACCTGCCACATTGCTTGTTCGGCACTAATTGGTGTAAGATTCGCGTGTACCATAACCTATGAAGCCTAATCTACAATGTGTTGTACCTCTTTTTGCCACTTGTCCTGTTTCTTCGTTTTTTATCTTCCAAGATGAAAATTGATAGCCATTCTACAATGTGTTCTTTGTTTCCTGCTGTTTGTCTCTGTTTGTCTCTTGCCTTTTCGTCAAAAACAGCAAGAAACAGGAAACGAAGAGCACATTGTAGAATGGCTATGACGAACTTCAGGAGAGACAAAAAACATGTGACAACAAATACAATTGTCGATAAAATGGTTGCAAAGAAGAGAAAAGAAACAGAATCGATTGTATATTTTGAAACGATGTGAAAATTACAGAAATGAGTAAATTCATTAGATATTGATCACAATGAAATTATAAATACTCTAGTGATTTTGCTCAATTTTGTAACTCACTTTATTTCAAGATACACAATCGACCAGCAGGAAGCAAAGCACAATGTGTAGATTAGGCTTAAAGATAGACTGGAGAATCAGAAGGTAGAGAATTTCGCCTCAAAAGTACTGTATTTTTGTAACATATTTACTTTATATCTTTATTCTTTTTTATGTATCTGTTTGTGATTATTGATTCAGTTCTATGTCGCTTTCTTTTATAGGTAAGCCTGCAGAGAAGAAGACAGAGAAGAAGGCTGAGAAGAAACCAGCCACAGCAGCGTCTACCTCAAAGGTGACAAAGCCTGCAGCCAAGCCTGCGGCTGCAAAGAAGCCGGCAACTGCCAAACCAGCAGCTGCTGCTAAGCCAGCTGCCAAGCCTGCAGCTAAGCCTGTGCTCAAGCTTGCCAGCAAGCCGTTGATTAGCAAACCCAAGAAAAATGTACAGGCCACCAAGAAGACCCCGAAAGGTGGAAAGCCAGCGACTCCGGTTCAGAAGGCTCTCAAGGCTCAGAAGAAGGTACTTGAAATGGAAACATTTATTTTGTTAATATTTTAACCCAAGATGAACAAGAAAGTTAAAATAATATTAATTTGACGACATATTGATCAATTATTGGCCAAATTTATGTCATCTTTTTGTCATGATTTAGTCAATTTAGACTTGTTCTTCTTGAGAGACATATCGTCTTTTTCAATGATGAATTTAAGTGTGGGAATCTCTTTGAATTTCCGTGAAAATAACTTTTTAACACAGTACTGACCAATTAACAAATATACTGTATGCAAGGATATATCAGATATTATGTATCTAACAGTCACATTTATTACTTTACAGATCTTGAAGGGAGTTCATGGTTCTAGGGTACGGAAGATTAGAACATCCGTTCACTTCCACAGGCCCAAGACTTTCAGGCCATCTAGAAATCCCAAATACCCACGCAAATCTGTACCGAACAGAAATCGGTAGGGTTTGAATGAGATTCACTCGAAACTTCATAAATATGTATGAATTTCTTTTGAGAAATCATTGCATCTTTGTGATTTGTATTTCAGTATGGACGCGTTCAACATCATAAAATTCCCATTGACGACGGAAGCGGCAATGAAGAAGATTGAGGATAACAACACCTTAGTCTTCATCGTACACGATCACGCCAACAAATATCACATCAAGGCATCGATTAAGAAGCTCTATGATGTCGATGTAGCAAAGGTGAATACTTTGATGAGGCCGGACGGCAGAAAGAAGGCATACGTGCGCCTAACGCGCGACTATGATGCGCTCGATGTCGCCAACAAAATCGGCATCATATAATTTCTATCTCACTTTTTGTTTAAAAATAACGTCTTGTACTGATATAATAAAAAGATATCAATACGGAGAAAAATTAGATTTTATTCGTTATTTCGCAGTCCTTGTTTGAGATAATAAATAAGAAAATTTTATAAATTAATGACGAAGAAAGAATTAAAAGATTTTCGGTTTTACAATTTAATCGACTGAGTGGGAAATATCGACTGTCGATATTCTCAAGAATATTGCCATCTGTCGCTAACCTATGGTAGGACATTGTATGCTTCCATCTGATTACATTAGCCGTCTTGGCAATGTCAGTGAGAGAGGCGTCAGCTGAACAATAATGGACTGGATACTGTATAGAAACAAAGTAATATGGGGCATAGTTATTTATGTTTGAATGCATAAAATAGTAATATAAAAAATTCGCATCATAATTGTATATAAAAAATACAAACATATGATATAAATAAGGTAAGTTATATATATCAAAAATTTTATTGAAAGAAACAAAAAAAGAATTTTAATATAATTATCATATTTTATAAATTTTTTTATCATTTTATAAATTTATAATACATATGTATTAATCATAAAAATTCTAAAATTAGAGTGCCTCTAATAATCGTCACAAATTGCCGAAACCACAACTTCAATAAATAAAAATGATAGAGGCACCGACGTGGAACTCCAAAAAGGATGAAGGCATCTATAAGGCCGCAGGTGCTATGCATCTGCGGAAGTACGGAGAGTTCTTTGAGAATCTGGTGGAAAAGTCCTGGAAGGGTGATTCAACATTAGAGTATATTATAGAAGGTCCTCTACGTCTAGTCTACAAATCGACAGAAGATATTGGCATCCTGTCCTTGGTGGAAATGGAGAACAAAGTTCTGTCAAAGCTGCTGGCAGCGATAGCAGGAACGTGCAGAGAAATCAGATTGCTGAAAGTGGAAGCTGCTAGTTTTTATGCAAAGCTCTTCGCTCATGGAGAAAGGTGTATGGACGACGATCTTATTGGTGTGACCAAATTATTGTCGGATCTCCTAGATCTATCCGTTTTTACCAATCGAATGTCAGCTGTCGTACACTTGACCACCCAACAATTGTCAAGTCTATCCGGTGCCGTCCATGAAATCTATTTACCCGTATTGCTGGAAGGCTTCATAGATCTATTTGTTATCCTTGTAACTCTCGACGAGATCGTCGACGCTCAACCAGTAGTATTGGATCAGTGGAAGAAGTACAGGATACACGTTCGCTCTATGATGCATAATCCATCGCAGTTTAATGTCACCAAGACAAAACTGGAGACGTTTGATCATCTACTCAAAGATCTGCAGGAGAAATTGCTACGAAAGAATATGTTTCTAAAGGCGATCGAGCATGTGATGGATGTAAATAAGGGTTCAGTTATGAGCGAACAGATCATCAGTTACCTGAAAAATATGATTACGGATGTGGAGAGCAAATCCAACGACTGTGCTGCGTTGAACAAGAACTGGATAAGAGCCAACGTCGGCGTCGCTGTGGTGATAAAACTGTTCGGTGCTTGCGACAAGAAGCTGATCAAAAGGGTGCTGGAGGCCAATAAAAAATTCTACGCGGTCACGTTGGTGGGAAATGTAATGTGGGTGCCTAGCAAGTTCCTCAGCAACGTCGTGCCAAAGGAAACTGGCAACGCCATAAGCTCACAAATAGGTGAAAAGATTCTGCAGGCGAGAACTCTAAGATTGTCTGTCACGGTGAACAATCTGATACAACGAGGGACGACTTGGTGCGTGGAGATGCAGAGTATCCTTACAAGGACCAATCTCCAGGTATCAGACATCGGACAAAAGCGTACGCTGCTGACGGATTTGTTAGCTTTGCTGTCTCAGATGCGAGAGACTGTTGCATTTGTGACGAATCTGCACGCTTTGCTGTCGAAACCGATGAGTCGTGGCACAGTACAACTAATTTGCAGACTCGTGGAGTTGCAGAAGTCCCTGCAGACGACGTTCTACGCACTCGGGCCGGTCGTAGTGCAATCGCAGGCGCAAGTACTGCAATATCTAGCTTACTACGTGCTAGTTATGCTGGAGACAGCGCGAAAGGCTCTTGTTCAGAGGGACAAAAGTTACAGCAGGGACCGCTTAGATGCGCTATCACTGATAGGACTGAGTATGCGGCTGATAAGTGGTCCAGCGAGTGCAGATAGACGACTGATAGTGCGTTGCGCGTTAGCGTGCGCCACTCAGCTGACTGATACCTTCCGTGAAGAAGATGTGGTAAAACTACGATTTCTGCTGGATAGTTACGATGCCGTGGCCGAGTTGTACGAACTAGTCGACGAACACAGCGACTATTCGCTGCTGCTGCATCATCAGAACATGCTCCCCGCCTATCTCTCTTCGGTCGTTGACAGCAATACCGGTGTTTACCATATTACACATCTGTTCGCCGCCTTCAACAGCGCCATGAGCGAGCAGGAATTCGCTGAGCTGAAAGTAAAACGCATTGCGGAACTCCGGGAGAGCCTGGTGAAGAGTGTATTAAAACCGGCCTGCCACGAAATTGAGACTAGCCTACGGCTGCACGTACATGCTCATCTTAAACTGGATTCCACGAATCCCTTTAATATTGGCGCGAAAGACGGTAGCAGGGTGGTACGAGTCCCGTCGTTGCCTTTGGCCGAAAACATGGTTTGTACAAAGAGATTTGTCGAGCATTACCTGGACGATATGTTTTACAATTTGACGACAGTGGCCCTACACGATTGGGGGACTTACAGGACACGGTGCAGGACCATCTGCCGACGCAGACTCTCGAACAGGGTCTGGACGCTCTAGAGATAATGCGTAACATCCATGTATTCGTTTCCAGGTAACCAGAATTGTTAAATACGATAGTATAAGAATTTGTTATGTTATAATCAGTATTTAGAAATTTATCAATATATTCATATTGTTTCATTGTAGATACCTGTACAATCTGAACACGCAAACGTTCGTGGAACACAGCAGCGGCAACAAACATCTAAACACCATCGGTATCCGGCATATCGCTAATTCAATTCGCACCCATGGCATCGGTATCATGAGCACCACGGTAAACTTCGTTTATCAGTTTCTGCGAGTAAAGCTGCACACCTTCTCGCAGTTCCTCTTCGATGAACACATCAAGTCGCGGTTGATGCGCGACATTAGATTCGTCCGAGCACAACGAGAAGCAGGCGCCGCTCCATACACATACGAACGAGCGGAGAAATTCCAAAAGGGTATCCGGAAACTAGGGATGACTGCCGATGGGTTGAGTTATCTGGATCAATTTCGTCAGCTGATCACGCAAATCGGCAACGCACTCGGCTATGTGCGGTTGATTCGCTCCGGTGGTCTCCATGCCAGCTCTAACGCAATATCTTTCCTGCCAGATATCGAGAAAACAGTGCCATTCGAATCGCTCTGTCATGGACTAAATTATAGCACCACGACACAAGCTGCAGCCAGACGGTTGGAGAACGACATCGCTGATCTGGTACGTAACTTCACCGAGGGTATTCAATATTTCAAGTTGCTAGTCGACGTGTTCGCATCGGATTACGCCATCGTGCCGCCACTAACGCTTAGCTTCGTCGACAATTCTGTATCCAATAAGGAGAAGATGTTTAAGAAGAACCAGACTGACGCAGCTTTCACTGATGATGGCTTCGCCATGGGTATTGCCTACATCAACGCACTGCTCGATCAGAGCGTTGAATTGGATGGCCTTCATTGGTTCAAAACGGTTGAACAGCACATCGCCCAGGAAAAGCTTGCAGCCAAACGCAAGGACGACCACGGCGATGAGAAGCTTCAACAAACCAGGGCGCTTACTCTCAAACGTCTCAATGAAAGAAACGCCGAGTTCCAATTGTTGTACTATAGTCTCTCTGGTGCTAGAGTGTTCTTCAAGCAACCTGATACGTAACACAAGACAATCTGCTCATTTTGATATTACGATATTGTGCTCTTGGGTCAGTTATCCAAGTCGATTTCATGATTACTAGGAGAGAAGTGGTTAGCACAAATCACGGCGATTTAGATAAATGTGCTTGAAAACCATTTCTTCCCTAATTTTTGAATGCAAGTGAAATTTTGAATAAATATAATCCTCATTCCAGCTCTTCCAATTTATTCTCATACGTGTTTGTCATCATAGCACATGTTGTAAATTACTTAGACTGTCTACAATCACTTTTATAAATATTTTCTACATTCACACGATATCGTTACAATAACAGAGCTTTGTTCAATAAATAATGGCTAGACTGAATGACTAGGTTTTACGTCTAAAAGAGGTGCAATTATTACTTGCAATCGCAAGTAGAATCGAAAGAATAAATGAATGAAGGCATCTAATATTCGTGTAGTGTTTCAAATTTTGAATTTAGCAAATTATCTAGAATAATGCAAGATTTCACGAAAATATAACATAAACCTTCACCCATTTTTCATCTCTATCTTAACGAATCAATTGTTTATCTTACCAGATCAGACCTCCATCTTCTCGAAAATCGGATTTTTAAAAGAATCACATTTTCTTTCCAATCCAGATCGATGTTGCGCTTTTTTAAATTTTCAATAAACTATCGTGCCTAATTAACATTGACGCACTATCGGCGTACGATGCACATGAACATATATATACAACATCAATTACTTTCGTAGCCGTACATGCTAGAAAGCAAAACATATTGCGTATTTTGCGTACAATAAAAATTTTATTTGTTTTACTCGTCACGCTTATGTAAAACAATGACGACTGTTATTAATTTGAATTAAGTATTTTTCCAATATCAGAGATAAAAAATTCTATCAAGATTATCGCTCGATAGATTTCTGTAAAACTTTCTTGTGTCAGTCTTCAAACGATTATACGCAATAATACGCAGTAATACATAGTAATACGGATAATCGCAAGCAACGTACAACAACAAAATATAAAATCTATTAAAATAAACTTTACGTCACAACATCGTAAAATATCACACTGAATTTATCAGAAACAGATCTGCGTCTTTACTAGAAAATACATTAAGATTAATTAACGCACTAAGATTGATTAATGCTTTAAGATTAATTAATTCCTACGTATATCTGCATAATTACCGAGATACGGTTTTTTGATAATTCTTTTATTAGTTTCAAGCGTTTTACTTGATATTCACTCTATTCGGTGAGTCTTTGTTTCACTGACGCACCTTTAAGTTAAAATCTTGTAATTCCATTATCTCTGCAGCTAATTGTCAACCATCAAGTGAGCTAAAAACCTGAATCGCTAATTAATTTATATCTTACACGACCCTGACGTAGTTATCTCGTCTATCGCAAGTCACGACATAGATATGCTTCTTTTCGTGACATATGACATTTAAATTAAGCTGCAAACGTCGTTGAATTTGCCGTCTCACGATGACGAGAAACAAGAGTAAATATTCTAGCAGGATCGTATAGATATAAATCTCTCTTTAGGATTGAGGTTTGGATGATTCTTCCGGATCCAGAAGATCGTCGCAAGAAGCTGTCGGTGGTAACAATTGTCTGCCGCCGCGTTTCTTACTGCGAGTGAACACCTTCGTAAGTTGCGCGAATTTACGTCGGGATACTGCAAGGGTTTTCATCGTTAGAAAAATAACAAGTGCATATATATATATATAATATATAACTTTTAACTTAAATGATCGTTTTCGAATTCATTGCTTACGTTTGCCCATATTTTTCAGTCTTTCTTTAAACAGATCCTCGTCGTCGTGACCGGTCTGGCTGCTGCACTTCTCCAGCTTTGAGTCTACAAGAGAAAGAAAACGTTCCATTTTCTCTCTTGAGCTGCACTTCTTTGCGGTTTCCTCAATTCTTTACCATGTTCCAATGTAGACAGGAAATCTTCATTCCAACGAAGCTCCGCCATGAACTCTTCGTTCTGCAAAAACATAGCGATCCTCTCGTCCTCTAGCATAGTATTCTCTTGCGAATATGCCAAATCGATGCCATCATCAGATATTTGCTGGGGGAGCCTTAAAAAGGTGTCTGGCAATGGTCCCAACAGTGGAGGCTGCCATTTTTGAACACTGCTTCTTAACGCTGCTTTGCTCGAGTCTTTCTTGGGTGACTTTGCGGTGCTTGGAAGCTCTTCCTTCTGCTCCAGCTCGCTCCTAATTTTCTCGTTCTCGTTGTCAGTACTCATGGTGAGCAATTGGTCGATTGTGGTGTCCACAGCTCCCTGATTGGATCTCAGTACAGCCTGCAATAAACATATAATAAAATGCAATTGTACTCCTAGAATAAAACAACATGACAGTAGCTAGATTATGTACGCTGCTTTCCATTTGATGACACAAATCGACACAAGCATCGTTCTATCCTTCTTGACATTCAGAGAGTGACAAAGATAGAACGACACTTATGTCAACTTGTGTCGACTGTGTCTCCTAAAAGGAAAGCAGCTGTATTTATATCAATGTAGATTCACTTTAATCTTGGTTTAATTTAGGCTGCGTTTGATTTGGATGTTGTAAATTTCATTCTATCTTTCTTATATAGTAATGATAAAGATAGAATGAAGCTTATACAGTGCATAAATACCTAAACCGAATGCAGCCATATTCTTAGTCTTATTTTAATCTTCATCTAATTAGGACTAGAAAAGGATAAAAAAAGTAAGTTAATCGAGATTGAAGTTAATCTAAATTAGTAGAAATGGACTTGGCATGTCGACTTGACAGTTCTCTCACCTCTATCACATCGTCATCCATCTGTGGAAACATGTTCTTAAAATCGGCCATCGCCTGATAAAACTCCAGCGTTGTTTGTTGCTGCTGCTGCTGCTGCTGTTGCTGTTGCTGCTGCTGCTCCGTGGCAGAGGCCATGGTTGAGTTTCTGGAGCGACTGAGCTGCCAATACAATCAGAGTTAACATGATTTTTTTATATCAAACGCACAGCATGTATGCGTGTACAAATACGTACAATAATCTTCCGACGTTTCTCAAGTAGTGACAGCAGCGAGAGCATCGCCCATGCCTACAAATACCGGTCTTTGCGTCGTTGCTCCTTAGTATGTGTCAATCAGCAAAATTAGCACAGTGTCATCTTTCAGAGCGGTTAATCGATAAAATACACAGCGTGTTTAGAATATGTCTCGCCGGTGCCGGCTTACGTCATGTCATACAGATATACGTCAAAGAACCAGTCAAGAACACCACAAAGGTGTCAACTGTCAAAATTTACACCCGCTCTCAGCTTGTTTCGGCCTTCATGAAACCAGGACTAGAGAACCTCCAGATCGTTCACCGCTCGTATAACCGAACCACTCATGTACGCTTCGTGATTGGCTGACCACTGTTAGCGTTCTTATAATTATTACATAAAACACTAATGTGTCCTTGCAAGAAATAGGCAGTCCTTTTTCTAAAATTGTCTCAAGTAGTGTCTAAGGGGATCCTAAACTTTGACTATACAAGATCCTTAAGTCGTCTGTTTTATCGATTCAGGGACTTACACATACGATTTGCGTGTATTAACATGTAATACTTGTCTTACATCAAATATGCATACGTATAAATTTTCTATCTTTCATATTAGATATCTAAGCCTAATTCTAAAGAATTCAACAGTATTTGTTTATGTAATCCCTAGTTCAAATCAAGAACGTTTTATATGTATAAAGTATAAAATTTATACATATACAGGATGCATCTAAAGTAACGTACATTAATCATACAGTGCTATTCTTAATAAAAAAAAACTGAGTCGAAAAGTTCTTTAGCATTTTGCAATTTTCTCAATAGTTAACAAGATATTAATTACAAAAAATCGCTTAATATTAGTTTCAATAATTTTTTACTCAAATACTATCAACTTTACAGAAAAACTGTTAGAGATAAAAATTGTTTATTTTCTTCTCATAAAGTTATGAAAATTTTTTCAGAATTTTTTAATACCATATTTTCTCATGTTGGTAAAAATAAGAAAATGCAATACTAAAAAGTTGATAAAAAATTCTGAAAAAATTCTTAGAGTTTTATGAGAAGAAAATAAATGATTTTTGTCTGTTGCAGCTTTTCTGTAAAATTGATAGTATTTGAGTAAAAAATTATTGAAAACCAATATTCAGCGATTTTTAGTAATTAATATCTTGTTAACTATTGCGAAAATTACAAAATGGTACAGGACTTTTTGACTCAGTTTTTTATTAGGAATAGCACTGTATGATTAGTGTACGTTATTTCAAATACACCCTATATAGCAAATATTGTTAACAGTCGACTCCAAAAGCCGACATAACAAAACTGTAATTTTCTAATTTTTTTTCGTTCTTGGCAGTCAGTCAGTCAGTTTGAATTAAATTACCGTTTGTACTTTAATTTAATCGTGAAAAGGGATTTTAAATTTGTAAAGGCAATTAGAAAAATACTTATTTGAATTTTTGAAAATTTTTCTTGAACGGTTTGTAATTGGCTCTTTGACTATATACCTCTATAGTCAAAGGATTGGCTTATGACATCTTAAGACTGTACTTGAGACGGTCTTAAATATAATAAAGTTATAATCTGACTATTTGGTGCGTTCAGGGAGACGCTATTAGCGCTACTTCTGTCATTCTATCTTCGTTGTTTATTAGACGTAAAACAAGGATAGAATGACAGAATAGCGCTAAGAGCATCTCCCTGAACTCATCTTATGAATACCGGTCGTAGATTATTCTGTTTTACACACGTAAATGCACGACTCTCTGTATTATCAAGCTCAGTTGTTAAAGCATATCTCTTTTCCATCTCGACCGTTGAAACAGCAAGCGCGTGGGCGATCGAGAATGGACGAACGGAACAAATGAACGATCAGCCGGCGCCGCGCGGCGCGCGCGCGCGTTCTTCTCTCTTATATAGGAAATGTGGGAATGCACGTCGCGCTGCGTCGCGCATTCGTTGTATGCGGTGGTGTGGTCCGTGAGGTGGCGAGGTGACAATGAGCGACGACGTGCCGGAATCGTCCGATACGCGTGCATACGTAATACATGCGTAATTGTAAATCGTGAATCGTGAGTATTCGTGAGGAGTGGTGAGGTGGACTCCGCCACTCCGGTGACTCGTCGTTCGACGACGGTCAGACGCGCGGCGAATTTGCGCCTCGTTCCCGGTAGAAATCGGCGCGATTGTGGGAGGCTGCCAAGCTGGAGTTTCGTATTCACTGTGAAAATATCGCGAATACCGATGCCACGATGAGCCGACGTGATAGACGATTTTGCGTACGGTACAAATAAGGAAAGAGGCATCTCCTCGTGAAAGACCGGAGTTCACCGGAGATCTCTCGCGCGTTATTGGCGCTCGTCATCCGGCGCCTCTCCCATCGCGTATACGCGTGGTTAACGTTTTTTCCCAGAGCACGACATTAGATTCGTAAGGTAGTTAAGATTTCTGAGATTCCAAGATGTATCGTAAGCTGAAGTTCGAGGTGGAATACCTGACGGATGAGCACCTCACGGGGTTCGAGAGTTACAAGGTAAATGGTTTGATTTTAACAGTGAATATATTTTTCATAAGTAGAGATTATTGATTTCAAGAAATTATGAATATATATGAATATGTCACGTTTTATAAGATACAACGTGTGTATACATTATTCGTAAAATTATTTTATATTTTATATCAAATTTTTCCCAAAATACATAAAACCTTATTCAAATAATTGAAATAATATTTTATGCTCTCAATGTTTAACTGTATTACTCATTTTGAATATATTATGATTTCAGTATAGCTCCTTGGACACAAGTCCCCTGAGCGTGTATGTTATGCATCCCTTTTGGAACAAAATAGTACAGGTAAAATTTCTGCTTCAGTGTTGAAACAATTGTTATGTTAATAAGATTTTTCTTTTTATCCATGTATTTCGTAGAGCTATAATAGAACAAAATGGTTTCTTTATATAGTATTTTTATTATAAAATAATCATTTCATCTTGTGTTTTAGTATTGTCCAAAGTGGGTTGCTCCAAATGTACTAACTTTCTCGGGATTCCTTTTTACCGTGCTAAACTTTATGCTATTTGCGATTTATGACTACTACTTCTATGCGTCCAGCGACGACAAGCCGGAATACCCTCCAATATCACGATGGGTCTTTGCCATGGCTGCTTTTAACATTTTTATGGCATATACGCTTGGTACGTGTATTTGGTGCTTGATATATAATTTTAATATTAACATATAGGAGTTAAGGGTGTAAAAATATACATATACCAATTATATCCAGTTCATACTTTGCCACACAATATATCAAGTAAAAACGGTCAGAAATACGAGCAAAACAATCATTATTTTAGATGGGCAACATTAATTTATTTAACGAACATATATAATTATTTAGTAAGAACATACGCCTTTTGATTTCACAGAGTTTTTCCTCAGTGTTTAATTAAAACCGTAAAATTTTTGTAAATACCTATGCTCAAGATAGTTCCTAATATGACCTACTTAATTTAAAAGTTTGTAAGAGACTATAACAAAATATTTTTCACTTTCAGGTCGCAATAAATATTAGTCATATCATGCTCTTTCGGTGAACCATTTGGATGTGATAATATTTATTGTGATCTCAAGGTGAAAAAAAATTTTGTTATGGTCTTTTACAAACTTTTAAATTAAGTGAGCCATATTAGGAACTATCATGCTCATAGGTATTTGATAAAAATTTTATGATTTTAATTAAACGCTGAGGAAGACTGTGAAGTTAAAACGCAATGTTTTACTGAATAATTATATACATGTTTGTTACATAAACTAATGTTAATCATCTATGCTCAGCATTTTGCGCATCATGTTTTTAGCCGTTTTTATTATCTTGATATATTGAATGTATATGCATATAACATATACACACAAAGTATCTCAAAACTTGCGACTCAAAATAATATAGCAAAAAAGTTTTTGGAAAAATAAGTAAAAAAATTGTTCATAAATTTTTATTTTAAGCAATAGTTTTTGGAATATAGATATTTTATATGTTAATTATTGACTATTTTACCTATGTGAGTATTAATGAGTCGCATTTTAGATAATATTGTTCATAAGTAGGTGATCGTCTAAACGTAATCTGTAATTAGTTATGTTAATATCTTTATTATCTTAAAAATTGTTTAAAATAAAAATTTACGATTAATGTTTTTATGTTAACTTAATTCTTCGAGAACTTTCTTGCTATAGTATTTTGAGCGAATTTTAGGATACCTTGTATGTGAGTGTATATGTATAAATATACATATATATTATTATAATTAAGATAATATTTTCGTAAATTATGAAAAATCTATCTTTTGCATTTGAATAGGCACACGAAAAAACTTACATAAAATATAATAAATTTAAATATTAAGCAATGGATTAGAAAATAATAGACGTAATTTTATCGAGAGAAATATGTATATAAATTTTATTGAGGTATAGTTCCTTGAGCAATAACTTAATTTCATTTATAACCGTTATATTGCAGATGGGATAGATGGAAAACAGGCAAGACGCACACAAACATCCGGTCCCTTAGGAGAACTATTTGATCATGGTTTAGATAGTTGGACTGCCATGTTGATCACAGTGTGTATGTATTCAGTCTTTGGCAGAACAGATCACAGTGTCTCGCCGCTACGAATGTACTTTATACTGTGGAATGTATTCATTAATTTCTATCTAAGTCATTGGGAGAAGTATAACACAGGTGTACTCTTTCTTCCCTGGGGATATGATGCTTCCATGCTGGTAAGTTTGCTCAGATAATATGATTTTTAATAAAAATAATATTTCTTTCATGTTACTAATTGACTTTCATTATAATATTTCTTTTACGTTACTAATTGACTTTCATTGTTTCATCGATCTGCCAATTTATATCAACCTTTTATTGATTTTATAGGCAACTGTCATTGTATTTACACTTACCAGCATAGGTGGACACGAAGCCTGGAAATTTGAATTGCCAGGTGGTATATCGGCGGGAATGATGTTTGAAATGTTATTTTATGTCAGTGCGCTTGTGTCCAACTTACCAGTCGTTATTTGGAATATATACAAGTGAGTGTCATTTTATCTTTGTAGTAAATAATACATTTTTTAAAATTATTGTTACACTAAAATATTTGGTAAAACTGGATAAAAACGAAATGGTTCTGAAATTTCTGTTAATGATAATTAATAAGTATTGATAAAGTATTCTACATTCAATTATCTATTTCTCTATTTGGAATTCTTTTTAAAGAGCTAATTTTCTTTAAAACAAAATTTGAATAAAAAGCTATATGTTAACATAATTATCTTTTGAATTATCTTGCAGATCGTATAGAGATAAGACCGGAAAAATGCGGACGTTTCCAGAGGCTATAAGGCCTTTAGTGCCTTTAGTTTTGTTCTTTATAATTTCCACATTCTGGATAATGCACTCTCCAAACAATATTCTAGAAAAAGATCCGAGAATAATTTACTTCGCCATCGGCACTATTTTTTCCAATATATGTGTAAGAGATATATATATATATATATTTAACTCAATGTGTTAGTAATTTTTTGTTTCTCTCATTACTATTCATTATATTTATTTAAATGATGTTTATATTGCAGTGTCGATTGATCGTATCACAAATGAGTAATACTAGATGCGAGATATTACCGTGGTTACTATTACCAATCGCAGTGGCCGCTGTTTTCTCATTTATCTTGCCAAGCATAGATTTGGAAATTATGTATTTAGTTTCTGTAGTGGCCTTGGTGGCACATGTTCATTACGGCACTTGTGTGGTAAGTTTAATGACGTGTTACGATTATAATTATATATTATTAATTATATAATATTATTTTCAATTTACAGGGTGTCCCATTTTAAATAATGCATTAAGAATTTCTCGAAAACTACGGTAGATACGGGAAAATGTTTCAAACAAAAGTTGTATAGTTCGGAGGGGGGCATAAGAAGGTACTATTGATTTGACCTTGGGTGGTCACGTCGATTTTTTTAAATAGACCCCCTATTTTTCATTACATTTTCTTGTAGCTTATCTCGAGAGCTTTTCAAAACACTATAATAAAATATTTTTTCATTAAGTATTTTTCGAGTTACAAGGCTCGAAAGTTACAGTCGGCATTAGCATTACGCAAGTTGTTCAACAGACGGCTAAAACCTCTTGAATTATATCAAATCAATGGTACCTTCTTATGTCCCCCTCTGAACCATACAACTTTTGTTTAAAACATTTTTCCGTATCTACCATAGTTTTCGAGAAATCTTAATGTATTATTTAAAATGAGACACCCTGTATATGTGTGTTGAGAAAGAGATCTGCAATTAATAATTGTTACTTATATTTTCATAATTTACAAAGCATTCTGTCTGTCATGTCAACATAATCGGTTTTGTAATTGCAGGTACGTCAAATGTGCCGACATTTCCGTATTCAGACTTTCTCCATAAAAGATCATTCCGAATGACTACTTGCCGACGATGCATGTTAAGAACGAAGAAACAAAGAAAAGGTCGATAAAAACTGACACGGAAAAGCAAGCAGGGAGAAGAGATCTGACACACACATACACGAACTTTTCTTAGGACTAATCACGAGGCATTAACATTTGACAAAACACCTTTTGAACAGCTAAGAAAGGGAAATTATTAAATCACGTTCTTTATGAGAACGTGCGCCATTCACGCGAAATACGATAGTAATGCTGCTCGCAGAGATTTGATAGCGCCATTTTATTCTAGATATCTAAAAAAAAAAAGATTAGTGTGTCTGATAGATCGCCTATTTATTTCTATACAATAACAAAATTGTCCGAAATGTGTTTGACTATTTACTGTGATATACTTATCCTTATCACTGCTTTATCTCCAAGAGCAGCGGTTCGTCCATAAACGTAAACTCTTCATCATGATATTCCGCTGGGCTTACATATAATATGTGTGTACAAATACTTTTTCTTTGAATGCTGCCGAGCTCATTGAGCAGTAAACTAAAAATGCACCTCTTCGTTTTCGACATGTATCGTCCCTCGGACGTTATTAATCAATGACTAATAATATTGTATCTAGCTATTTTTTTTCTTTTTCTCTTTTTTTTAGCGTTTGAAAAATTGTTTAAATTATTGGCAATATATATATATTTTTGATTGTAAAACATCGTGTGTAGTACTTTAAGATGCATTTATAGTAAAGATAATATTAAGTAAGAAAGAATCGAGTGCATTATTGTTTATGTGTCGAATGTACATTTGCGTTATATAAGATATGTGTACAAATTATTATATAATTATTATATCATCTTGTATAATTTTCATAAATTGCAGTGTAAAATTCTGCTACAATGGGATGTAGTGTTGCAGCAGCATCGATAGCTAGTTTCTCTCTTTTTTGTTTGTCCTACAGTTTTGATCGCAATTGTAGATACATCACAGAGTAATATGTTTTCCAAGTATATGTAAAATAATATTAACATGTATCGAAATAAGAAATTTAGATGGTAATAGTGTAAACATCAGTTTCTTTTCAATGTGGATTTAATATATTTCAAGCTTATATATAAATTCTGTTGGACTATATACATACGTAATATATTACAATGTAATATTGCGAGACACCGAAGAATATTACGGAATAAAAAATATTTTTACAAATGAAGCCGTGTGCTGTATCTATCACTATCTTGAGTTTAGGAAATCGGTCTTTATCTTGGCGCGCTCCTCCGGAGGCGGTAGGTACGGTTTGATACCTTTCGACCTGCGCTCACGTCGCACAGAAGCCTGTAAGGAAAATAATCCTATTGAAGATGTAATCTTGCGGACACAGAGCATTTTCTAGCAAGACACAAATGATAGGGCGCTTTTCATTTGACACCATAAATATCGTTTTACCCTTGTTACTTATTGAATGTCAAGAAAAATAGAAATAATGTTTGTATCAATCTCGCTATTCACTTCTAACGAAAGTCATCCACAGTGAATCTTTGCATCTTTATTTAACAAACAATAAGAATGAAATAATTCACTGTGTTACACTGTGTCGATTCCCAGATAGCCAAGCGTGATGTAGCATGTTGTGCAAACTAATGCATTGCATGTGTTGTTATATATTTGCTATACATTTGCTAACATCACAATAGGACACATTATAAATACAACATGACTGCTTATTATGTTGTCGGCAACATGACGGCAACATATTAGCAACGAATAATTAATCGTTTCGTCTTGAGCTCATTGCTAACAACCCAGATAACAACGTGTCTTTCTTGTTGCTGGGATGTTGTTTGCTAAGTATGTATTGCTAAGCATATGTTGCTAGCAGAATTGCAGCAACTGAGTCCTCATTTGGCAACTGGATATCTTCACGATATGATAATTTTGAGTAGCAATTTGCCAGCAGTTTGCCGACAACTTTAAAATCATTATCATCAAAATTCGTACTACTGCCATCATGTTGCCATAATAATATGCATCATCATACAATGCTGTCATATTGCCAACAATACAAAATAACATTGATGCACCTATCTTGCTGTTAAACTGCTGGCAATACATATACACATTGTTGCTTGCATGTTGCTACAATATCGGCAATACATATACACATTGTTGCTTGCATGTTGCTACAATGTCGATATATTCGAAATCATTGAAGACAAATCTATTGCAAGTTGCCAGCATCATAAGCGATCAAAGATTTGTGCGATTTTGCTGAGACACGCTTTGCTATCTGGGAAAATGCTGACAATATGACAACACTAGTTGTTGTCGAGGATATTCATGCTGACATATTGCCATCAATTTGCCATCACAAAAATTCGAATTCCATTGAGTTCAACGCGACAGACATAATGCTGTCTCTTATCCTGAGTTTGTCGAAATTGATTGCTGCAACATGTCAGCAAATACACTGCATTTGGCTATCTGGGTTGTGTCTTGCTAGAAAACGTCCATGAATTTGTGCCTTCATGGATCACAGGAAGAAAATTACCCAGAAATCTTTACAGTTCTTGTAATTGATGAAATATAACTCGCATGGGTTCTCGGTTTTATCGGGATTGGAATTAAGACATTTTAGGGACATGAGATGCTCCTAGAAGTTGAGAAAAACACAACGTGTTAACAAAACAGCCACACTCTGGTCTTTTAGCGCCAACAGTATTTTCTTTCATCTACATTTTCTTAACTATGCTTTTTCTCCAGCCTCTCTCAATACAATAAGCATATACTTGTATCGCTGTAAAAAGGAATACCGAAAGTGTGTTCATGCGACTGATGTTCGATAATTATAAAACAGCGAATCATTTAGATATACCTTGTAACAAGGATTGTCCGTTTCTTGATTACGTCGTAACGTGTGCCTACTTGTGATATCTGTTCGTTCTGTAACATTTGAATCTCTTCGTGTATCCATTTCGCCGACAAGAGGCCACGAAAAAAGTGTTTACATATAAATAAATGCAATTCCTTCCAAAAATCAATGGAAGTAGCTCAGTTGAGTTATATTGCACTTTTCACATCCAAGGTGAAATAGAGTTACACGATTATAAATGTCAGTAAGAAAAAGAGGGAGGATGAAAAAGTGCAGAAAGTTCAGCTGTAAATGCCTGTAAAGTGTAAACAAAACAGCTGTAAAAAAACAGATTTGAAGAGAATTATGCGAATTTTATCACTTTATTCTTGACAATAATATAAAACAAACGGTTTATTTCAGTTTCAATGAAACTCAGTTGAAATTTTTATATTTTGATGTTTCTAGCACGAAGGTGACAACTGGTGACAACTCCGTGTCACGCACGTGGTGCACGTTACGATGGTTTTGAGGTTAGATTTAACCGACAAAACTTCAAGGAAGTCGTGGGATACACTTGTTAGTCGTGCGAATGATATAAAAAGCTGAGAAAAACTTTTCTCTTGAGATGGAAGTCAACGTGGGCGACGTGGTGATGCCGGGCGACAGTTTAACTAACATCAAGTCATTCAAGAAGGAAAGCAAAAGCGAGAAGGAGATCGTGATCCTGGGCCCTGGACTACGTCGTGAGGACGATGCCGTGTTCGTCTGCAAAGCGGGTGTCCTGAGGAAACGCGAACCGGCCGTCTACTATGTGGACAGCTATCAGAAACGGTACAGAATATAATTATCAGAAAGAATAGAATGATGTTCATGTCAACTGTAGGTGGGTTCCAAGTTACGAAACTGATAGTCCACCTACTGTACCCATTCAATTATAAATTTCTTTATCAAATATTCCATTTTCTTTTTTTCATTTTACATTAAACACGCATGTAATTTGATCCTAATCTTCAACAAAAATAGAGTTAACTTGGACCAAAACTCTAATTAACTTAATTCTCCTTTTTTAAATCGCTAATCGCGTTCATCCATCTCGAACTATTCTTTGTTTTATGCAGATACATTCCTAGTCGAGGCGAGAACGTCGTTGGTATAGTGACGCAAAAAAGCGGTGACATTTACAAAGTGGACATCGGAGCCAGCGAACAGGCGACGCTATCTTATTTGGCCTTTGAGGGAGCCACAAAGAAAAACCGACCTGATATACAAATCGGTGATTTGGTGTACGCCAAATTGCTGATCGCCAGCAAGGACATGGAACCGGAATTGGTATGCGTGGACTCCCACGGCAAGGAGAATGAGCTCGGTATGCTAAGCTCAGATGGCATGATGTTTACCTGCTCGCTGAGCCTCATAAGGAAATTACTCAATCCGGAGTGTCCATTGTTTAAGCTACTCGGCAGGAATCAGGCATACGAACTTGCTGCTGGGATGAACGGCAGGATATGGATCAAAGCGCGGTCGGTTCAAGAGACGATAGCCGTGGCAAACGCTATTCTAGCGGCGGAGTACACGGTACCTAGTGAAATGCAAAAACTCTGTGCCAGAATCGAGAAAATATTGTTTCTCGTGGCTTAATGTTAGCGAACTTGGAGGAAAATTTATTCGGATGGATTATTATTTAAGGTTCGGTGTTTTTCTTTTTTTCAAATAAAACTGAGAAGAAATTAGAATAATGCCTTAAATCAATTCAAATGCATTTTGAAGCCAGTCCCACTTTGGCATGCAAAATAATGACTACTTGCTGTTATCAATGACAGTTACATTTATTGTATATTTGCAATAAATTCTGTAAATAAATCTGGAAGAGTTTTCTTAATTGATATTTTATGTGTAGGAATAGTATAGAGTGAGACAACCATTGTAACAACCTGATGTGAATTGAAACTATAGGTACAATTATCACTAAAAGATGTTATCGTATGAATGTACATACAGCGGAAGCGACGAGTACATGATTGTACAAGGTATTAGCGTGAAACAATATAATCAATATAATTTAACGTTTAGAAGAAAAGAAGACTCGCTTCATAGGAAATTCAATGTTTAATTTCGCTTTAAAAAAAGAAACTTGATGACATTCGGATATTACACATAGGTATCGTATTACACTAGTGATTGCAGACAGTATCGACATAAAGATACGGAGTGCAGAGCGCTGCTAATTATGATAATTTTCATTACGTCTCGCTGATATGTGCCTAGTGTAATGCTCTCTTCGGCTTGCTCGAGCCGTGCGCGACTATATACGATGTTATTTGCCGTTAACAGTCTAGAACAGTGGCGGTATTTGCACTCAAGCACAACCATTACTTTCATCTTACAAAATGTTACTCGGAAAGCAATATCTAATCCAGTGAATATATATCGTTACGTTTCCGCATTTAATTTCCATTTAATCAAAGATTGCACAGTATCTTTGTATTTAGTGGAATGTATTCACTGCCATCGCCTTCTAATTAAGCGTATACACATAAGAAAATCATTGGCAATTTCAAAAATATTACTCCTATTGTTAATAAAGAGAAAGTTAATGAAGTAAAATTAATACTACCTTCTTTTTATCGCTAAGTAAATGTCATGTTTTACGAAATTAATATTATCTTCTTTTTAACTCTGAATATATATCATGTTTTATAAAACGATTTTGAGACATCGAAAAGCCCATGATTTTCTAATTCTTGACATCACATAGAGAATGTTTTTGCGCCAATTCAAACAATAACAACTTATCGCTAGATGCACATATACTACTGTTGACTGAGATTTTGACAGTAAAGTAATATATAATACAGATCAATTAAAAAGAAGAGAAAACAATAAGTATACACAAACGCAACAGAGTATATATACGCAAGAAAAACGATAAAAGATCTAGCAAACAAAAACAATAAGTATTGATAATAACAGAAGTATATTATTAAAGCTAAACTATTCTTTTTTGGTCATTTATGGCCCCTACTTCATCTCACAGCGCCGTACTAAAATAAAATTCTATAAAACGCATCTAAATGCTACAAAAGAATACACTGTGTCACCCTTCAGGATCGGATTTTCCTTCAGTATCTACATCATAGATCTAAAAAAAAATCCAACAGATCTTCGCAAAAAATTTGAATTCTTTTTAGAAAAAAGTAAATAGAAGATAAAACAAATGTAAAGCAGACGCTAAATTAAGATTATAACTTAAAAGCTGTATCTTTGACTAGTTAGAATTATATATATGCAAATAGAATTAATTTAGAAGATTTATATTTACAGAATTATTATAATTATTCAGAATTAATTACTATTATTGCACATAATTATGACTACAATTCTTCCTCACATCTCGGAATGTGTCCCTTAAAATCCGATCCCGAATACAATTTATTTATACTAATAATAAATTATTGATAATCGAGTCGAATTATGAATTCACGACATAAATAATTTGCGATATTATCTGTTGTGATACACCTTTTCTTTCTTCGCTGCTGTTTTCAGAATATTTTTACGAACGCTACTATGCCAGCGATATGCGGTAAGTGTAAGTTTCACGAAAAGAAACAAAAAAAAAGTTTGCTAGTTACACAGTAGGAAAACATCCAGTATTTGACATTAATTATCTACTATGAAACTATCGGTAGATTCTGTCATATCATGGAAGAAGCCGTGGCGTTTTTTCTCTTTTTTCTGTAGAAACCACACAGTATGTTTATCGCACATCGGGATGTAATTAGGCAGGCAAATATGTATGTTGGGGACGATACATGGTGGCACTAGCAACCATAAACATACTAATCTATTGGCATTGTGCTTCGCTTAATATATACGTTTCATCAAAGAGTGCATTAATCATCGAGGTATATCGGGAATAATTATGCAGGATATAGGAGAACGATTGTGCACGCACTAACGCGGCAGTGCTGTTACATAAGCGATGTAACAATAACCGATAAAAACAAACTTTAGAGAAGCGGGGAGAACTATTCGCGGAAGAGGGTGACTATATTGATGCAATAAACTTAATTAAAGAGAATAAAAAGAAAAAAAATTAAATATATAAGGCATCGATGAAAGAAATTACATTGTAGAATGTGAAATAATTATCTGAAAAAAAGATCTCAAACTAATTTCATTTAGTATTAAAGAAATTTTTAGAATTTTTTAGAAAACAGAAACTCCGTTTTCAGAGTCTTATGTGATACTAAAAAGAAATAAATTTAATGATATATGAAATCTTAAAAGATACCACTAAAAGAATCAGCATAAAATAAAAACTGAAAGTTATGTGTGAGAAATTATTCTCTCAGGATTGTCCTCTTTTGATGCCTTATCTTTAAAAATTACAAACATATTGTGAAAATTGCGCCTATAGGGATTACTACAATAGCACATAGATTATTACGATGTTTATGATATGAATATAAAATATCTGCCATTATTACTGTAGGTATACATTTACATTCGCGATTATATAATCTCGTCACATCATGAAATATTTTCCTCTACATTATGATTCCTATCATGATTCATTTTTTGCTGACATTTATCTATTATCGGCGATTTTCTTATACAATCCTAATCGTAGAAAGGAATAGAAAATATATTTGTTATGTAACTATATATAAAGCGCGGTTGGTGTATTCTTCATTCGTGTCAGAATGCCATTAACGTTTCTCACTTATAGTGATAAAGATTTGCAACGGACGCGTTTTCTATAAAAAAAATAATCTCCATTAGACAAATATGTTTTATATGCGCATAGATATGCTATTCCCTCCACACAGTACAATGGCAGAAATTCCATGACGCACAATGTTTTTTTCTTTTTTTCAAGTTTGTTATCGCAATTTTTATATTAGCTTAGTAGTTAGTTATAAGAATAATTTGTGTTGGATTATTAACGCACGTTTCGTCTTTGAGATAAAACGGCTTTTTTTAGCAATTTTTGCTATAGGCATTAGGTATATTTAATATTATATTTGATAAAAAGCAAATGGGTTACACCTAAAACTTCTAATGGAAATCTGAAGAGTCGTATTAATTGAAAAATTGGACAGCTTTATATGTGCTTTGTAAGTCGTAACAAAATTAAATTAATAACGATCGATTATATAATTATAGATGATAATTCTATAATTGTATTCATAAATTATAATTATATATAATTAGAAAAAAGTCAAATCAGTCTATAATCATGTAAAAAATTTACATTATCATAATTTTTTAATGTTACATATATCGTTCTTGTATATAGCGTTTCATATTTCTGACGTTTTGGGCAAAAATAATACGACTCTTCTGTGGTAAATTAAAGAGGGATGCACTATATAAGTAACTTTCGTGAGCGAGATTTGTCGATTAGCAAAGCAAGACGCAGTATCACGTCATAGTATAGAATCATCGTCTATCTCGAGTCGAGATAAATATTATCATCAGGTTTCAGCATAATAGTAATGTATATAAAAAATTGTCTTTACTTATACCTAAAATAGCATGATGTTTCGATTATATAAATATATTATATATGTATATATATATGTGTGTATGTGTGTGTGTGTGTGTGTGTGTGTGTGTGTGTGTGTGTGTGTATACATATACACATATTTCCATATCATAATTATTATTGTATTATTTTCTTATATATCTATATACCATTCACAACACAGAGTGCATAGTACGAAGCTGAATGTCGATCCGCTTACTCTTATATCGCCATTCTTTTATACACATACATAAGTATGTATATTAAAGAATGTGTTAAAAGAAGAAGCAAATTCAAAGCCTCAGTGTAACAACGCACAACCAATTTTTATACAACCTGCGTGTATTAAAGTATCATATCACTTTACAGTTGACTTGAAACTTATATGTGTGCCACTATATTTTGAGTAAATTTAATAAATTTAATTGAAACATTACGTCTCTCGATCATTGAGAGATATAAAGAAGAGAAATATATAAATATATAAAATTATTATCTAAGAATAATTTTACAAATTATATACAAATTGTGTTTAACAAATATTTTAGGAGATAAAGTGTTGTGTTTTCACTAGTAAACAACGATCAGCGGTTAATTATAGCAACAGGAGAAAATATAACAGATGTAAAGGAACAATTCATCGAAATCGATTGCTGCTCCTACATCAAACATTCTTTCTCATTAATAGGAATCAAACGTCCATTCGTTAACTATCGTATCGAACGTTAACATTGAAATCTTGTGCACACGCACGAAACAGTGTCCCGAGAGCGTTGCAGAATGTCCAGTTGCTCAATTATAATAGAGATTCATTCACGTCTATCTACGATAGCGTTATTCAAAATATGTAATGTGTTTTATCTCCATCTTATTTATGTATAATTAAGTGCTAGTGATTATTAAAATCTTATTATTGCACGCGATGCAAAATGTACGTTAATCTTCGCACGTTATAGGCTGCTGCTGTACCAGGCGATCCCATTTCTTTACCGCCTCATTTTCCGACGGTGTTAATGAAAGGTACAAGCAGACTTCTTTCTCACTAGAAAACGACATCGAAATATCGTCGGAAAATGGTGCTACTGAAGTGGAACGTCATTTATCTTCTCGTACGATTTATTACATCTATTGATAGTTGTGCTTTGTAGAGTTATCCGTCCGTTTCTTTTTCCTTAGTCGCTGTTTGGGAAAATTTGATTTTTGCGAAACGACGTGCGAGTCGTAGACTGCATAGACATAGTTGTGGTAGTATTAAAGATGGTGCAAAAGTGTGCCAAAGCAATATTGCGCATCCCTCGAGCATGCAGATTGTGAAAAATATTATGGACAAAAATCTAATGTACGTAAAAACAATAGTCCATATATACTATATACTGTTAGAATCAAAATAATATTCTTGTGTCTATATATCCTATCGAATCCTTTCGAATTCGCGGGATTTTTCCACAGAGCACACATAACGAGCAGCAGCATACCAACAAAGACACAAAGAGTGAGAGTATCTAAACGTAAATTTACAATGAAAAAAAAAAGATTTTCGCAGATATTCCTAGGAAGGATCTTTCAACGACTTGTGCACACCTTAAAAACGGCAGTAAGTTCGTCATACTATATATATGTATATATATATATGTACGATTCGATTGCTTAAATGATAAATGAGCATGTTAAAACAATCCTAATACTCGCATGCCATTCGCGCACATTGAGTTACTTTTTCAAAAAGATAAACAAGTGCAAAATACATCTTTCTCTTTTTTGAATATCGTTCGATCATCACGCGATTCACTTTGAGTTCTTTTAAATTATACTCTTAAGTTACAGTCTTACTACAATTCTTTTGGCTCACAGGAGTTCTACTTCCCTTTAAGCTCGATCACTGAGCAATCATTGAGTATGTCTCATTGAGAAACTATACCCGAAAAAGACTAAGAACGTCCTGCAGTAAACATTTCTAAAAAAATCTATTACCTCCTCTCGCGAAGAAATCTGACGTGGAGTCTTACATTCTGGTTTTGAACACTTCATTGTTGCGTTGTAACATCAGAGATCGAACGAGAATCGAAAATCGAGAACCTACATTTTCTTTTTTCAATTCCTTCTGTTTCGACAGTCTCGTTTGTTTCTACAAGTTTAAAATCATAACGTTTAATATCATTATATTTTGATAGATACATCTCCCGCAGGTTCTCAAAAATGAGCTTTAATCTATCTATTTTACACTTTTCTCTATATTACTGCACATATAAAAATCTACTTACGCTTTATCCTTGAAATTGTTTGTAAATTTTCCAAGAATAATAGCAATTTTTTACAAATATCCCACTGGAATCCTTAAAATCGTGTTAAAGAGATATGGATTTTGGCGAAAACCCTTTTAGAATAGAAGCCATTCTTTTCGTTCGATCTCTGATTGCAAGAGAAAAGTCGAGGAAACTAGCGAGGCACTTGAAGCTATTGATGGACTGCTGAAGTGTTCCGAAATTTCCCCGAAGCGTATTCTCCTTTCGCCATGATCGCTAATAGTCTTGCGTTTTTTAGTCTATCAATTTCGTCCATCATCGTTTTTCATTCTTTCTTTATAGACAAACTCGAGGCCTTTCCGATTAAATTCGGTTACTTACGTTCGAGATGACGTAGAAAACGTCCAATTTACTCACTTCGGAGCGGAGCAAGTCTAAGCTAAACAAAAAATGCTAAAGCCGTCTAGGTTGCACGACGCTGTTGTTGTTGAGGCGTGTAGTCGTCTGATTGTTGAAGTTTTCATCTTGTGGTACGTGCTCGGTGCGCTCGTCGAAAAATCCCGGATTCAGAATGATGTTGGGGACGAGCTCAATCACCTCCTGCTCCTCCAGCTGCGCTGCAATTTCGGAACGGAGATTAATTTTCATTGGTCTAGGTCACGGATCTCATTAGCTTCTACCCTCTCCCTTCACCGGTTTTTCTTTGTCAGGTATTGTAAACCATTTACACCTCGAAATTTCATGTCGGTTACCGTATTTCCAAATTATTTCTGAGATTATTGATAATCTCATTAACGTAACAATAGACTATCAGATTCCGATGCCAATCGAACGCCGTTTGCCTGACAAATGAACCTGCTACCTTTGACCTACCTACCTCGATAATGTCAAAGATCTTATCGATATTACTTAACTAGACCATAATGCTTTCTATGACTATCGTAATATTTACTATTCATTCATCATCACTAAATTATTTTCGGCAGGCTCGTTAACATTATGTATGTACAGCATAAGAAATATCTAATTGGAATAATAAGAGAAAATATTTGTATTCAAAAAGATTCAGTAATCAGACAAGTAAATCTGCGGCAAGGAAATTCTATTGAATAGTTCGATATTTCATTCCATGTGCCATATATCGTAAAAGATAAAAATATTGTTTTACTTGTGTGCTCATTGTTAGTGTTCGGTGCGGCAATCTGAAAAGTGTCGTATTTATATAATTGATGGAATGAGATTTCCGTTAAATGATGTCGTAAATGTTTGTCAGTAAATGTTAAGTCTAATGAGAAGTTTGCAAAGTGCTCAGAATATACAGAAACGAGATATTATAAAAATATTAATTTTTCGAAAAACATGGCTGTCGCGTAATAGAGAGAAGCCAAAGATTAAAGTCACAGATAAGTCAGCTAGCCGACTAAGATGCTAACAGGTCCTGTTGTTTGTTAAATGAATATGATGTATGTTCTTCAGCTATAACTTGCACGAAGGCTTCTATGGAGAGAGAGAACGACTTTCTCGAGCATCGTGCTTATTAGAGAGGCCATGAATGTTATGATCATCACCAGCGGAAAATAGTAGTAGCAGCAGTAAAGAGACAGAGTAGAAGCGGAAGCTTTTACGGTACGTTATCAGATAGGATGCTTACAGGGTGCCTTGCACTCGCGATACAGTAGGTAACAAGTACCTAAACCAAGAATCATAAGTGTGCCCATCACTATACCTACGGCTGCCACCCAGACGCGTGTATCGAAATTCTCTACGCCAGCTAAGAGGTGTCGGGCGAGCTCTGAAAATTAGTTATGTCACATAATAAAGTTACGTTAGTTTTAGCTTAGATATTGTACAAGAAATATTATATATAATAGAAAGATATATCTTGTAATTTCTACAGAAGATGATATATACATATGAAGAATGTGTCAAAACTATTGTCGTTAAAATTACGAATTTATAAAAGTTTGGATTTGATATCACCTTTAACTCAAACATGCCTCAATATTCAAATAACTTTCAATAAGTAATTTCCAAATATAACTTTAATAAATAATTACTTTTTAATCTTTTAATTTAAACAACGACGACAGTTTCAGCTACAGATATATACAAAGGTTCAAATCTTACTTTATTTCAGTGATAATCTCTATATACAAAATTTCTATATCGCAAAGTAATTATTTAATAATAATTATTTAATAATAATTGCAACAAAATACCCAATTCTTCTACACTGTAATGCGTGTGACCCTCGACCTCCACGATCTCTCCTTTTCCCAGCTGATTGGTTGCCCACACTCGGAACGAGTATGTAGTGTTTGGCACCAAATGATACACATCTATTTGTCTCTTTAAAGTAACAAAACAATCGTTAGTCTTAATTCAACTAATCTCTTTTTTTTATAAGGGATGGAATAACTTTATAACGTTATAAAAAAAATTTATTCTTTTATATTAATGAATAATTGAAATCAAAGCGGATACAATGTTATAAATAAAACAATGTTACACTATTGCGATGATTGCAGTGTTATATAACATTATCAAGTTATCTCATCGCGTTTTTTTTTTCAACATCCCTGTTTTTTCATTACAATTTCGAGATCAAGATATTTACAGAATTTGGAGGAATGTGTGTCGGAATAATGGGCTTCCATTCTTCCGGATCTTCGCCCGCGACTGGTTTCAAACGATATTCGGCAGTGAAGTCTATGATAGGATATCCGCCGGTATCAGCCACTTCCCAGAGAATATTGGCCAATATCGTGGATGGCTTGACCCATACATTGTGCAGGGCTGGGGGAGGTGCTAGACACAAAAGAAATATATAGTAAAATTAAGTCTAAGACTATTCTAATAGACAGAGCAATGCTTATGCTAAAACTTGATCGAATAAGATTCCCAAAGTTATTACCAAATCTAAAACGTGAATTAAAATTTGTCAATTAATCTAAAACTCGTGTAACTAATTGGTCATTTTTTTCAACATATTTGACTGTATTTAAAAAACGTTGCTATATGCAATCACAAATTGTTTCATATAATATCAAAGTGGCTGAGCTACGACATACTTTTGACTTCCACATTGATAATAGCTTTCACAATATCGTCCAAGGTGCACGAGTAATTGCCGGCGTCATCCACGCTGACATTTAACAGTTTCAGCGCACCATTCGGTTCAATTTTCAGCCGCTCTGCCTGTCCATCCTCCCGTCCCTCTCTTATCCACATCACATTGAATTCTTCAGAATGTAAAAGATCACTCTCCTCGGCACAGGCCAGTTTCAGATCTTTACCCACATCCGCAGCAATGTACCGTATTGGTACCACAGCCACTGCTTCCTGCCATCCTGCAAGTTCACAAATACTAATCAACACTTGTCTTGTATGGCTATTAATGATAATCATTAATAATAACTGTTTCATTGGACTATCAATCAGGTGACCTAGACAGGCAGATTGATAAACAAATTCATTACACCTAATAGAAGAGACTGCTCCATCAAAAACAAACATGTAATCCAACAAGTAGCTACCACAGCTGGATACATAAAATTGTATAAGAATTATACAGATTACAGATTTCGAAATTTAATCGCATCCTATTTCCTTCATTCTTCTCTCAAAAAATATGACTATACATTTATTTCGTTTCAAGATATAATTAAGATAAACAGATCTTTAATTGTTGCGATGCAATAATTCAACCAGGAAGCATCATTTCAGAAAAGATCTACAAAAAAATTAGCGAAAAGGAAGAAGACACGACGACGACGAAGAATTGCGTCGTGATCTCGGCAGGTGGTTTCACAAACTGCGTACACACTGCCATTACTCACGCTTGCGAATGACGCAGGCGGCGATAGCAACGGAAGTAGTGCAAGTGACGGAAAACAGCGAGATAGCCTCTTTACATAACTGCGACCCTGAATCGTAACGATCGCGAATCGCATGATCGTTGGATATGGATCACGGCATTGTTCCTCGAACGGAAGTGCATCTCTTTCTTTCTTTCTTTCTTTCTTTCTCTCTCTCTCTCTCTCTCTTTTCCTTCCTTTCTCACGCACACATATACACATTCGTTCTTTTTCTCTCTTTCGTTAATTATCACTCGGCGAAGTTCTTACCTGCCAGAAAGAGTATCAGCAACGGTAGCAATTTACGTTCGTCCATTCTGCCATAATAATACAGCTAAATGCCTGGCGAGACCTTATTTTGTCACGGGACTCTCGTCGATCGCATCTCTCTCTCGTCTCATGTCGAACGGTCGCTCTCGTGGATTTTTACTCCGGATTTTTTTACTCCGGGTGTACGCGAAGGGGAGTAAAGGAAGAGGAAGAGGAGAAGGAGGAAGCGCGTCACTCGACGTCGATCGTTGCCGCTGTCAAACTCATCGCGCGGTGCGTCGTTTACACGCCAACCGTTTGTCACCAGCGATCGCTACGCGAACACCGCCCGTCCGGCGCGCCTCCCTATTTTATTGAGTCGCGTCCCCAACGCCCTCTAACTCACCTTCGCGCGCCCTGCCTTATCGATCACCGATGTATCTTCCATCAATGATAACAGAGAAGCTATTACGATCGAGGTGCCCTCGTTTCAAGTTCAAGTCTAAAGGAGCTTACAGACCAGAGCGGTGTAGCGGTGAGCGGCGAGCGGTAGCCCAATAAAAGCCATGCTTCACTAATGATGTCACGCAAAAGCATGGCTCTCATTGGGCTACCGCTCGTCGCTCACCGCTG